GCTGGGGGATTGAACCGCGGTCCCTGTGCTTTAGACCACTGAGCCATCTCACCAGCCCCTTGGCTCCTTTTTTGTCGCCTTTCGTAAGGCGCTTGTTCTTGCCTACCGCCATGGTGCTACTCAGAGAGCCAAAAGGCCTGCTCAGAGAGCCAAAAGGCCATTACTTCTTAAGGGAGCTATATGTTCAGTTCTCAAATTTATACCACAAATTTGGGACAAAATGAGCTCAACATCAAAGGCATTATTTTATATGCTTCCAGCATATTTCTTTTCTTTTTTTTTTTCCTTTAGTGGAACCCGGGATTGAACTCAGACCTTTGTGCTTGCCAGGGAAATGCTTATATTCTACTGAGCTATCTCCCTAGCCCTGCTTCCAGCATAGAACTCAGTACCTAGCATAATGGACAACTCCATTCCCCCAAACAGGAAACCAGAGGCAATAAGGGGAGATCAAAGAAGAGTGACACCCAGAACAAAGATAGGGCTAAGATAGGGCTGGGGAGATAGCTCAGTGGCATAAGCGCCTGCCTGGCAAGCGCAAGGTCCCAATCCCTAGTATCACCAAAGAAGAAGATGACGAAGAAGACGAAGATGAAGACGAAGAACAACAAGACACAGGAAGTGTTGGGGGCCGGGGGGAGTGTTATTGAAGGTATCCTCAGAGTTGTTTTTGGTTTTTATTGTCTGGTGGACCTGGGGATTGAACTCAGGCCCTTGCACTTGCCAGGGAAGCGCTTATTCCACTGAGCCACCCGGCCCCTAAATGTTCAACTTTTTTTTTTTTTTTGCAGACCAGGGATTGAACTCAGGCCCTTGCACTTGCCAGGGAAGTGCTTATTCTACTGAGCCATCTCCCCGGCCCTTTATCCTTAGAGTTGTGATAGCCCTTCAGCCTCCTATACCTCTCAGATTTCCTCTGGGCTCAAAGAGCCAACTTCTCAACCCTTTTATTCCTACCAATTAATATTCTGGTTTGTCTATGCCTGCATGTCCCTATCAAGAAGACTGAATTATTCTTCTGGGAAAGGCATCTGGTATTTACTAAACAAAACTTATTATAATGAGTATTACTCTTGTACTGGATATTGTACCTGGAGAAGAGCAGTAAATGAAACAAAACTCCTGTCTTCCTTTTGTTTTGCTCTGTTGCATTTTTGAGACAGGAGCTCACTATGTAGCTGAGGCTGGCATTAAACTCATTATGTAGCTGAGGGTGTCCTCAAACTCACTATGATCCTCCCAGCTGCCAGAATTACAGGCATGTGCCAACATACCCCACGAGCCTTCTTGAAGTATATGCTTTAAACAAAATAGATAGCCTGTCACAGCTGGGTATAGTGGTGATACCTACAGCCCCAAGACACCGAGTCAGAAGGACTGAATGTTCTAGCCCACTTAAGGCAACTTAGCAAGAATGCATTTCAAAAGAAGCTGGGGATGTAGCTCAGTGTGAAAGCCCTAAAATCAGGCTCCAGTACTACACCACAAAACAAAAAAAGAGGGGCTGGAGAGATGGCTCTGTGGTCTAAAGCACCTACTTAGAACAAGCTCGGCAAAGCACAGGGACCACGGTTTGATCCCCAGCACCAGCCCCGCCCCCTGGTGGACTGAGCTGGCCACACACACACACACACAAAATAAATGTTAAAAAAAAAAAAGAAATTACCTTTGGGGCTGGTGAGATGGCTCAGTGGTCTAAAGCATCTACTTAGAACAAGCTTAGCAAAGCACAGGGACCGCGGTTCTATTCCCCAGCACCACATGCGCACACACACACACACACACACACACATAAATAAATAAATAAAATTTAAAAAAAAATTGTTAAGAACAAACAGAAAAAATGATGTCAAAGTGACATAAAACCAAAGAGAAAAGAAAGAGCATGGGGCTGGGGAGATGGCTCAGTGGAATAAGTGCTTCCCTGGCAAGCACAAGGGCCTGAGTTCAACCCCCGGTTCCACCAAAAAAGAAAAGAAAGAGCATAATGACGGCTTTTTTGGGGGCCGGGAAGATAGATGGTTCAGTAGAATAAGCGCTTCCATGGCAAGTGCAAGGGCCTGAGTTCAATCCCCGGTTCTGGGAAAAAAAGGGGGGGGGAGCTTTTTTTTTTTTTGAGGAGGTGTTGTAATTTAAAGTTGAATAATTAGAAAAGGTGGGCCAGGGAGATGGCTCAGTAGAATAAGCGCTTCCCTGGCAAGCTCAAGGACCTGAGTTCAATCCCCAGTTCTGGAAAAAAAATAAATAAATAAATAAGTTAATAAAAATTAATCTCGTGTCAAACCACCTATTGGATTTCTGAGATGGGGCAATTTGACACTAGACCAAATGGTGATGGGGTTCAGATAGAACAGGGACAAAAATTTCTGTCCTACAAGGCACAAACGAGAGCGTGCGCGCTCACACACAAACGCGCGCACACACGGACACACACAGGCGCTCTCCCGTCCACTTCAAGGAACAAGAAGCCAAAACAAAGACGAAATGCCAAAACAAAGATAAGATGATGTGTCCAAAGTCAGTAAAGAGCCAAGGACAATGCAAAAACAAATGGTTAATAAAGGGACGTCTTCTCCCTCAAGCCAGCAGCGTAGGAGACACATCCTTCGGTGCGGATCCATCGATCCAGCAAAGCGTCCACAGTGACTCACGCCGATTCCGGGGGCGGCGGCGGCACCCGCGAGGCCCCAACAGGCGTGGGCCGGGCGGGGAGGCGGCCGCACGCCACGCGGGAGCGCAGGCAGCGCAGGACCGGCGCGGGGAGCCCCGCCCTCGTTCCCTGAGGGCTCGCACCGCCTCCAGGTGACACAGACGCACGTCCCGAGACGCCACTGCTGACAGCTCCGGGCTGGGTGGCGCGGACGCGTCAAACTTCCTCTCAAGCCCCATTTTCCCCACTTGTAAAAGGACCCCAGACACGCCGCGCACCTCAGCGTCCCGCTCCCCCGCGCCCGGCCGCGCCCGGCGCTCGAAAGCGCGCGGCGAAGCCTACCGGCGCGCGGCGGGGTCCAGGGGTGTCCCAGCTTCGCCACCTGTCCCAGCTGCTCCGCCCCGGCAAGTGACGGGGAGAGGACGGGGACCCCGGCCCTACCGTGAGCAGGCGGCGCCGCCGCGTGGGGCGATCCGAGCGCGCTCGTCCGCCGGGCGGGCGGGACGGACGCCGATGTAGTCAGGTCAGGTCCGGCCGCGTCGCTTGCCCGGACTCGGCCGCCCCGAGCCGGGCCCTCCTGTCTGTCCGCGCTCCCGGGGTCCCTAGTCCCGAGCGTCTCCTACACCACCTGCTCTCGGCAGGACAGCGGATGATGGCGGAGGAGGAGGATTTTGAAAGCCGGCAGTTTCTTTCCTTTGATTTGATTTGCTCGAGCCGGAGCCGGCTTCCCTCAGGCTGCCGCGCGGGGCTCATCGGGTAAAGAAGTCCAGTTCCCCCGCGCAGGCGCGACAGGGCGCGGCCACGCTCGCGCCGCGAACTCCCAGTCCCACAGTGCATCGCGCTAGAGGCGCACCGCCCTCTTCTCCGCCCGCTCTCTGCTTTTCTGGCTCTTTCTCCGGACACCGCTAGGCGGTGTTTAGTCAGGTCCCCCAGAAAACTACAACTCCCGAAAGGTCGTGCGCCTGACCGGCCCCACCCTTCCGGAAAGGTTTACGAGCGTTCCAAAAATTTTATTTATTTATTTATTTATTTATTTATTTATTTATTTATTTAT